GTAAATTTTTTTTTTCAGTTTTAGTTTTTTTTTTCAGTTAGTAATTTTAGTGCTTCAACTTTTGCATTTCAGTTAACTGCCAATGCAACATTTCTAACATTTCTAATATTTATATTTTACTTTATTTTAAACTTTATTACAATTAAAGTCGCCATGGCATGAAATCAAATTCGATAATTTTTTTTGAATAATAATTTTTTTTTTGGAGCATTACAGTGTTTATTATAACTTATTTATCTGTGCACATCATTCATTTTTGTAAAATTCGACAACGATCCAATAAATTCTTGAAAGACCAAATGAAACTTTTCTTTGTTTGAGAAGCCATTTCACTCATATACATTTCATGCCCAATCTAACAAAAATGTGTTTAATATTTTAGATATAGTTAATGTTAGTAACCCTGGTGTGAAATGTCATCTTCTACGTTCAGTTTTCTCTTTTTAGATCATAAAAGATCAACAATTCTGAGAGAGTTATCGTTAAACGGTTTGATGTCTATAGATATCAGAATAATAACACATCTGCTTTAATGGCTCGGACATCTGCAGGAAACCGTCCTCAGTAACAAGATCACATTAATTCTGTTCGACAGAGCCGGAATGTGTTTGTGTGCTCGTGTAAAGTCTGTTTCCGAGCACATGGAAAATTCATGAATCAAAGTGAAAATAGTTGATCAAACTGGAGTGTATCTGGAGCTCAACACAGCGACGCTCGGTAAACAAGAGACAAACAGTGTCAGTGAACCAGCATGCACATCCCATGATGCTCTAGGAAAGACAGAAGCCAATCAAATAAAACCAGTTTGTGCTTTCACTGTAAACGAACTTTCATTATAAACCACAGGCAGTGTGAGTGAATCTCAGCAAAACACATCCGGGTCATATTTCATTCCAAAATTACAAGAAAGAAAAATTAAATATGCTACTGGCCAAACGTTTGGAATAGTTCATATTTTTAATAGTCTCTTCTGCTCACGAAGGCTGCATTTCTTTGATCAAGAATACTGGTAATATTGTGAATTATTACAATCTAAAAACGTAGCTATAAAAAAGTTTCTTATTTTAAAATCTGTTAAAATGTAATTTATTTCTGTGATGCGCAGCTGTATTTTCAGCATCATTAATAATAATATGCTGATTTGCTGCTCAAGAAACATGTTTGCTGCTGGAAATAGAGCAAACATTAACTGAAATAAAATCAAATGTAACAAAAATTAAACTTATTTTATTTTAGCTAGCTGCTGAGGCAACATTTCTCATTTTCATTTAGTTTAACTTGATGTATTAGAATAACTAAAACTAAAGTAAAAATGTACAAAACATTATAGACATATTTATAAAATAATAAAATATTTTTATACTTAAAATATCTGTTTTCTATGTGAATCTCTGTTAAGCTGTAATTTATTTCTGTGATGCGCAGCTGTATTTTCAGCATCATTACTCCAGTCTTCAGTCACGTTATCCTTCAGAAATCAGATTAACTGTTTTTACTGTATTTTTGTGTTTGTAAAAATGTATATATATATAATGCTCACCGTAGTGACATTATTTTCACAATTACACACATTTAACCCTAAACGCTCATTAGTGTATTTCCTGTAATGCATTTTTATCTATATTTGAATGAGCATAAAAGCACTACTATACTAATACTAGCATGCTGTATTAATATTTTACCATTTAAATAATATGTCATGATTTTTTTTTGCACTATAGTAATGAGCATCTATTGGGAAAATAATAAAAAATGATGCAAAAAAAAAAATCTTAATGGTCCGAAAAAATAGGCTTTAATTGCTTTATGCAAAATAGAATTAAGTTTGCTATTTTTACTTATTTAATTATTTTTCTCTCTCTTGGTTTTGGTGTGAAATATGCCACTCTTGGTTTTCAGGCTCTGCGAGATTCATCACTCCCTACATTCACATCTTGTCGCAAGCTACGTAAGCTATAACATCCTCGTTGTGTCGTCATCATTCAGATCTGATACCGAGCTTCTGTCAGGATCTGATGGAGATGAGCCGGATCTGTCTTGTGATCTGAGAGGATGATGGCAGTAGAGATGCTGGTTTGGATCTTCTAGAAGCTCTCCATGAAGCTGCTGGGGAACAGGCCTGTTCGGCCGGTGCGCTGAAGAGTCCCTTTGAACCAGCCGTCTTCTCGTTTCTTGTGCACAAACACGACGTCTCCCTCCTTCAGCTCGATCTCTGCTTCGCTCTGCGGCGGGTACGGCACAACCACGCGGTACCTGACGGAAAGAGACCGAAAACTGCACTCAATGTGGTTAATAACAGGAGAAACATTCACACGGGGCTGAACGAGCATCTCAAGATGCATTCATCTAGCTTTCAAACCAAAAAAAAAACTGAAAAAAGTTTTTTCAGAAGTCTCTTCTGCTCTCTGAGGTTGCATTAATTTGATTAAAAATACTGTAAAAATTGTGAAATATTATTCGAATTTAAAACAGCTGTTTTCTATGTGAATATCTGTTAAACTGTAATTTATTTCTGTGATCAAAGCTGTATTTTCAGCATCATTACTATTAATCAGGGATGCATTAAATTGATGAAAAGTGACAGTAAAGGCATTTCTGAAGATCATGTGACACTGAAGACTGGAGTAATGATGCTGAAAATACAGCTGCGCATCACAGAAATACATTACAGTTTAACAGATATTCACACAGAAAACAGCTGTTTTACATTAGAATAATATTTCACAATTTTACAGTATTTTTAATCAAATTAATGCAGCCTTGGTGAGCAGAAGAAACTTATTTTATGTTTTAAAAATCCAAATCATGCCAGACTTTTGACTGGTAGTGTATAAATATGAAATATTTTCAAAAACAATGATAAAATAGGATTTATGAGTTAAATTATATATTTCAATACTAGTAAACGCACCAAGCAGTCCACAAGAGGGAGCAACAGATAAATACAAATCAAACTGCATCATGTTGTAATGCATTATTGTTCAAAGACAAACCTGGTGCTTAAAGTGCATTTACTGTATGTTTAAACTAAAATGCATAAAATTGCAAAAATAAAAAAAGTAACTTTCTTAAAACTTTTTTTGTCATTTTGTTTTTCAGTGCTTGCTACAACATCTTAAATTCATGCATTCAAATGTGCATTTAGATTTGAATTCTCAGCTGTTAGACAACCTCATGCATAATGCAGCGCAGTGATTGGATCATAAGAGTTCAATCTCATGAATAATACTGAGAAAAGCCCAGAAAACTGAAAACTGATTTATTGTTTTCACTGATGTGCAACCTGTACATATATGTTAACATCTTAAAAAATATGTTTTACGGTTTAATGGCCTTTTAAATGCATGCATTCAAAAGTGCATTTAGATCTTGAATTGGATGAATATTGTAAGTTGTGATTTTATTTTGACAGCCTAGATCTGGAGATACTGACTCAGCGATCAATGAAAATACAGTTTAACAGATATTCACATCACATCAAATAAATGCAGCCTTGGTGAGCAGAAGAAACTTCTTTTATTTAAAAAACAATATTCCAAATTATTCCAAACTTTTGACCAGTAGAGTATGAATATTAAATATTGTCAAAATTTGAATGATTATATTTGAACTCTCATTACATATTTCAATACTAGCAAACACATCAAATTTTACACCATCAGTCCACAAGAGGGTGCAGCTACGGATAGATACAAACCAAACAGCACCATGCTGTAAAGCATTGTTCAAAAACACACCTGCTGCTTAAAGTGCATTGATTTTTCTTTATTTATTTAACTAAAATGCATAAATTTACATAGAACAAGCTTGCTACATGTCTTAAATTCATGCATTCAAATGATGGATAATTTTGACCCATACAATGTATTGTTGGCTATTGCTACAAATATACCTGTGCTGCTTATGACTGCTTTTGTGCTCCAGAGTCACATATTATAATAATAGACATAATGAGTGCTGTTGTTGTTTTCACTGATGTGCAACCTGTACATATATGTTAACATCTCAAAAAATGTGTTTTAGGTTTGCATGAGCCTTTAAATGCATGCATTGAAATGTGCATTTGGATGTTACCTCTCTCGGGACAGAGGCTTGGGCTCGGGCCGAGCAGCGAGCGGCGAAGAGGAGCAGGGCTGCCGCGCCGGCGGAGACACGGAGAAGTTGAGTTCCAGAGATCCGGTCTTTCTGTGCAGCGGCTCCATTCCCATCGCACCCTGCATCTCGCTCTCGATGGGGCAGGATCCGGCTCGGCCGTGAGCAGATGGCTCGTGGGTCGGAGACACGGACGGAGGAGAGCGAGACTTCTTTTTGGCTGCGGCTCCGGAGAGAAGCTTGAGGAGACCGCTGCTCCTCTTCTCTTTCTGGGAGAAAACACACAGGAAGAGAGCCCTAAGATTTCAGAACAGTCAGAAAAACACCGTTGGAGGAATAAACCAAACCCGCCAAAATAAAAGTTCAGTTTAACTTGAACAAATTATGACAGAAATATATTCCTATTGGACAGTAGAATGTACTTCTAATAATAATAATAATTAAATTAAAATCTCCCATGTTTTAATTTTATCAGCACTCTGTTTGCCAAAAAATAAAAGTAATTTTAAAAAATGTACATTTCACTACATTTTAAAAGTTTAATTAAACTGTTAATGAGTTATGTCTTCATTTGATTATCCATATTTTTGATATTAAAACAGACAACAGAATTAAAAATAAATAAATAAATTAATTAAAACATTTCAAATGGCCCTATTTTCATAAAGTTTTAACAATTAAAATTATTTTGAAAGATTTTTTTTTTTTTTAGATTTATGAGTACAATTGATTACACATGATTTTCGAGTAATACAATTTAATCAAACCAATAAAATGGAATAAAAACAAAACAAAAATAAATAGAATCCAGAAAACTTAAAACACTAAAAAGCAATTTCACAGTGCCCTATTATTGTAAAAACTGTAATGAGTTATTAAATTATTAGTATTTTATGAATTCCATTGATTAGACATGCTTTTTGATTTTATTCGAATTTAAGTAAATTATTAAAACATAATTTGGGGGAAAAAAAATACAATGTATTTCATATGGCCCTATTATTTTTTTAAAAAGAATAAATAATAATAATAAATAAATAAATTTGAAAATGTTTAAAGTTTTATGAATGCAATTAATTCGATGTCTTTTGATTTTCAAAATGTAATAAAATCATTAAAATGACAGAAAAATGTAAACGGAAAAACTGAATTTAGGAAAAAAAATTCTAAATCAACTGAAATAAGGTTTTTGGTGAATTTGAGCTCAAGAGATATGCTCATATTTCATTCTGCCGCATCAGTCAGATCAGTAATAGTGTTGAGACGTGAGATCACATGACGTGTGTCTCTTATTTTAGACTGGGAGTTCATTAACATCACAAATCTGAGACTATTCATCTGATAGAAATATATTCATTGATTTTCAGCTGATTTGCTCACCTCATCTACATCAGCTTCAGCAAATTTCACATTTTGTTGGGTCTGTTATTGTTGTTCATGTTATTAATAATAAATTTAATAATATGAATTAATAAATATTTTTGTTACTTTTGTACAATACAAATTCTTTATTTGTACAAAACAAAGTACCGTTTTAACCATAACACCATAAAAAATCTGTTCTAATTTCTTACAATTTAAATTTTTTCCTCAAATTCATTTTTTGTTTTTTTCAATTTAATTTTCCTTTTTTCCTTTTAATTTCATTTTTGTTCTTTTAGTAATCAAAAAGCATGCCAATTTATTTAAAGGCATGTCTAATTAATCGAAATCACAAAACTTAATTGAACAACAATTAGGTTTTAACAATATTAGGTTTAACAAAAATTACAATTATAGGGACCCATGAAATTTGTTTTATTTTTCAAGGTTTCGTTTTTTTTTCTAATTCAATTCCCCCCCCCCTTAGTAATAAAAAAGTATGCTAATTTATTAAAATAAAAAAAAGTATACAATTTAACAATTTATTGAAAGTTTAACAAGAATTGCATTTTTAGGGCCTTATGAAATCCATTTACTTTTTTCCCAAATTTTACTTTATTTTTTCCCCCAAATTGTTTTTGTTTTTTTTTTCATTTAATTTTTTGTAGATTGCATTTTTTTCTATTTAAATTTTTCTGGACTCTCTTTAATGATTAAATTAAGTTTTAGTAATCAAAAGGCATGTCTAAATAACTGAAATCACAAGAATTACACAATTTATCAACAATATATTAGATTTAACAAAAATTAAAATTTTAGTGTCCCATGAAATTTGTTTTATTTTTCCCCAAATTCTGTTTCTGTTTTAATGTTACTATTTAGGTCTCATTATTTAATTTAATTTATTCCCAGTTAGTAATTTTATTGCTTCAACTTGCCATAGTTCAAATTTTACATTTTTAATTTCAGTTTTTCATCTCTCATTTGTATTTTATTTTATTTCACCATTATTTCCATGAACAGTCATTCTGAGTTTGCGTTTTAACTGTTTTTATTGATTGTGAGGAACACTGAATGTGTTTGTGTGCAGTGAGACGAGTAAACACATGTTGATATTTAGTCTAGAACTACAGTAAGATCATGTTCACACACAACGCTCTGCACTTACTCCTGATTTCTGTCACCATGGCAACACCAGAGCTGTCACTCAATACATGGAAACAAAGTAACTGGAGCTTCTTATTTGAAAAAGTAACTCAGATATTTCCTTCTACATTAAAAAGTAACGAGTTACTTTACTAGTTACTTTAAAAAGTAATCTGATTACATAACTCGCGTTACTTGTAATGCGTTACCCCCAGCACTTGTTAAAAGTTCCCATTTATTTCAGTTTTTCATCTAATATACCCGTGCTACCAGTCTTAAGTCGCTGGGGTATATTTGTAGCAATAGCCAACAATACATTGTATGGGTCAAAATGATCAATTTTTCTTTTATTATAATAAGTAAAGATTTTAAGTAAAGTAAAGATCATGTAAAGATCATGCAAGCCAGGATATTAAGTAAAGATCATGTTCCATGAAGATATTTAGTAAATTTCCTACTGTAAATACATCAAAGCTTAATTTTTGATTAGTAATATGCATTGCTAAGAACTTCATTTGAACAACTTTAAAGATGATTTTCTCAATATTTAGATTTTTGTGCACCCTCAGATTCCAGATTTTCAAATAGTTTTATCTCAGCCAAATATTGTCCTATCCTAACAAACCATACATCAATGGAAAGCTAATTATTCAACTTTCAGATGATGTATACATCTCAATTTCGAAAAATTGACGCTTATGACTGGTTTTGTGCTCCAGGGTCACATATGTGATTTTAACACACTTTCTCTGTAAAACAAAAAGTATTTAGTACACTTGTAGTACAAGAAACCATCTTTCATACACTTTTAAATATACTCATCATACACAGAAAATATGCTTATTAATTATTTAAAATATAAGATTCATATATAATGAATATATACAAAATGCATTTATAATGTATTGCCCATGTGTTTTATAGATTAAATAATTAATTTCAAATGTATTGTAATTATGTCAACGTTCCCTATGATACTTAACTACGTTTATGGTGTCTTTAAATAGTACAGTCAAGTACACTATTACTATGTCGTTAGTAGCACTTTCTTCTACAGTAAAAATATAGCACTTCAAGTACTTTATGCTGAAAGTATACTTACTGTTAAATTGTGAAGTTTGGTACGCGTCTAAACACATATAAATTAATAATCCAATCATGTGCTATTAGTGCATTTATAGCAGCCTAAGCACAGTAACCTATAGGGTTTTACATTAGTAATACATTTCTACTGTATTTGTCATGAAAATCCAAATAGAACTTAGTGATACTATATATAAAAATCCACTAAAATTTGATCGTAGCACACTTTTAAGCAATGCAATTATAAAACACTGACTACACTTAAAATCAGTTTAAGTGTTAGTGCTAATTAGTGTATTGACATTAAGTGTACTTAAGTGGTACAGTTGGAAAATTTTACTTATAACTATTACATTACTAATATATTTTAAATAAAATTAATTCAAATTTAAACTTAGGATAACTATTGTCACATTTGTATTTTATTTGATTTCACTGTTATTTCCATGAACAGTCATGTTTGTACTAGTCTCAGTTGGATTGGTGAGCAGCACTGACCTTCTCCAGCTTCTTGTCCTCAAGTTTGTTCAGACCTGCGTCTGCGTGTGTGTGTGCAGGTGAGGATAGCTGCGGCTCCACTCCGTTCAGATGCGCCGCGCTGGCGCTGGGAGGCGTGATGGTGGCGGAGGTCAGGGGCCTCAGGGGCCGAGTGGAGGCGGCATGAGACAGGGGCCGTGCCGGGGAACGAGACGGACTGCTGCTGCTTGCCGGAGGACTGTGGACTGACAAGAGTAATACAGCATTCACACACAAACACAAACTGATGAATTCCTGTCAAAAACATTAACTTTTCATAGTCGTTCCAAAGTAGGGCTGCATGATTAATCAGAATAACATCAATGGCTTATTGCAATTATCAAATTTAATGAATATGTGACCCTGGAGCACAAAACCAGTCATAAGGGTACATTTTTTTAAATTGAGATGCATGCATCATCTGAAAGCTGAATAATTAAGCTCTCCATTGGTGTATGGTTTGTTAGGATGTTGCAAGGGCGACACGCGAAATTTCTATTTTTGAAACGGTTTCTATTTCCACGACGTTGTGGCTGGAACAAACTATATGACAGTGATAGTCTTAGGTACTGATTATGTGCATTATTCAAAGTTAAATGTGAGTTTTAATGTCATATTGCGTGGCTTTTATAGCCGTACTGAAAACAACAACAGACAGTTTACCTCAGATCTTGAAAATAAATGAAAGCAAAGATATACGTTAAAAGTGCAAAGAAAATGCGAACCAACAAGCGTATTCAACGACAAAGATGGTATCAGTCACTCAGTATGTACATTTAATTATGTTAAAACGATTTAATATTTATGAATTAGATTATAAACGTATCCATTTCGTTACGAGTGCAGTGCGCTTCAAGAGAGACTCCGCCCACACATGCTTCTGATTGGCTGTGATATTTGAGTGATTCTATCGCATCGCTGGGATCTTGTCGCGTCCCGTGTAATTAGGACACAGTGTTAGAGTTTTCCCTCTTTCCCTCACGTCGCTTTTAAATAGCTTGTAAATGCCTGTGCGCATTTTACTTTCACTTTCAAATTAGCGGCAATTCAGCGTCGATTGATTGAATGGCCAACAACAAAACAGTACAATGACAAACTCACTTATAATAAACATAGAACGTTTAATTTATTTAACAAAACGAATAATAATACACCATGCTATAGGCCTGATATGAAATAACAATTATAAAACGGATAGTTCCGGTCCTTGATTCTGATTGGCTGAGCCGCGTTCGAAGCTGTTGTAAATTACTCTACAAAGTAACATACACCTTTGTTTACGTTTGTCTGTTGCTCGGCAACCACTTTGTTGGAACCACAACTGTTTCTGAGGAACTACATTGTTTGGTGAAAGAATACTGTTTTTATTAATATCATTACACTTTATTTTGTGAAACCTAACTACGTATATGGAATAACCGTTTTATAAAAGCAATAAGATCCGCTTCGCGTCGAGCCTAACAACGTCCCTTAGCTGTTATAAATTCACTGTAAACCACGGCTTCAC